ACAGCCATGAACAATCCTTATAGACTTCTTGCCTGTGTAACTCCTCCATTCATTCAATAACACCCCAACACTATCCCCAATCCTACTTCCTGGCTCATCTCTGTGTTGTAGCCTCCGAATTGGGTGGAGACCATTCGCTCAAATAAAAAACACACCATCTGCCAGAAGTCCATTTAGGTCACCTACCCACTGGCCTCTCCCACTCTCCCCTCAATACTATCCCCCAAGCTCCTTCCCCTCTCTCTTTTCTATATCCCCAAACTTTGACAGTTGTTCCCACCTGAAACAAATGTCACACCTACTACAAAATTTTCAATCACCAACTTTGGTTGAGAACCCATGATCAACTATAGGCCACACAGAAGAGAGACATCAGAAAGCAAGAGAAACTAAGGAACAAAACACCCATTTAACAAAGACAAACTAAAAAATCAGCACATAGAACCACAATCACCTCAAACTCAGATGCCTGGACACCAGCATAAGAACACAAAATCAGGATCAACCAGATCAATATGTCACTACCAGTTTATGATTAGTTTTATGAAGAAGCCATACATCCTTAAAAAAGGAAGTGAGTGAATCCTTTAAAGAAAGCAGGGTACTGCCGGGCGGTGGTGGCGCACGCCTCTAATCCCAGCACTGGGGAGGCAGAGGCAGGCAGATCTCTGTGAGTTCGAGACCAGCCTGGTCTACAAGAGCTATTTCCCGGACAGGCACCAAAGCTACAGAGAAATCCTGTCTCCAAAAACAAAACAAAACAAAACAAAAAAAGAGAAAGCAGGGTAAAAATAATGAAATATTTTCAAAAATTATTAATTTCCTTAAAGAAAGCAAAAAACAAAAACAAAAAACCAAGCAACTGATAGAAATGAATGAATGTGTTCAACACCTAAAATTAGAAACAGAAACAAGTTTAAAAGTGGAAACTGAAGGAATTCTGGAAATGAAAATCTAAGTTATCATAAAGAACCTAGAGTGGCAAGCTTCACCAAAATAATATAAGACATGGAGCAGAGAATTTCAGGCTTTGAATGTATGATAGAAGAAATGAATTTATTAATCAGGGAAAATATTAAATCTAAAAATTTCCTAAAACATAACATCCAGGAAATCTGAAACACTATGAAATGTCAAAATGTAAGAAAAATAGGAATTAAAGAAGAATCTCAGCTCTAAGACCAATAAAATAGTTTCAAAAAACTTCATAGTCAAAAATTTTTCTAACTAATTGGATACAGGATAACACAGCCCAATGAATGGACTAAGTGAACTAATGGTCTATGGTGAGCTACATTTTGACCTAACTTGCTTGTTTCTTGGTGTGATTAAATTCTCTATCCAAAAGCATCTCAGGTATTGAGCAGATTTATTTGATATTACCAGATCACATCCCACAACTGGGAGCTTAGGGTAAAAACTCAAGCTAGAAATTTAAGGCAAAAACCACAAGGGAACATTATATAATCAGTCTGGCTCTTGGTCCATCCAATTCCCAGCAGAAATGACAGCAAAGCAGACCTGCTCTGAACATGCCAAACTTACCAAGGCACAGCTTGTTGTCTTCCTTACAACTCGCTACAGCAAAAGCAGAGAGGAATCCCAGAAAGAACCCGAAAATTACGCATCACCAGTAATCCTGATATCTCAGACTCCCCAGAGTTCCTCATTGGTTAGTGCCTCCCAGGTGTGCCTCAGAATGCTAGTGGCTCCCCTACTGGGTTAGCCAAGATCAAATGACTCAGGGAACACAGTCCTTCTAGCTCTGACCTTCCAGTGCAATAGACAGGACCTTATCTTCCACTCACATGAACACACCCTGGATCTTCATCCTAATCACATGGTTCTTTGTGTGCACATTCCATTACACATGCAATGTCTAGTTTAGCCAACCCACTTCCTCATACCTGGAAAATCCTGCTGACAAACATAGGTCACAGTCAACTGTTTTTAAAGAAAAAGAAGTCATAAATTAGAAACCAATGTAGGGTCATGGTAGTTTGGGAAGCAGTAAAGAGAATATGGATATGATGGAGTTATAATCTCATAATTACTTTTAAAATGTTGAAACAGACTTTATAGCCATGTGGTCCGGACTAGGGATTAGAGCATATCAAAGAGTTCTCGCACCTTTTCTCTAAGGTGCACATCTTAAACAAGAAAATTAACAGCTTTCTTAGGCACGGTCACAACATTCTGCTTCTTTGTCAAGCAGGGCTGAAATATCTGCATAGGATCTCTGCTTAATTACACCTTCAGTATTCATTGGCTCAAGATAACCATTCTAAACTGTACATCCACACTGATCTGTGTTCATTCACATGACATAAATTAAAACATGCTGGAAAATTACAAAATCACTCCCCTGACGTCAATCAAGTCCTTTATCATAATGCTGACACCAGGAGCTGGTTGCCTACCCTGTTTCTCCTGGACTTTACAGCATAAATTTTTCCTCCTATTTTGGTCAGAAGACAGAAGCAATCTTGCATATGTAGATTCTTTTAATGTGACTACACTGCATAGTTGACTAAATGACTCAAACAGATTATTTTAAAACTGAGATAGATGGTACAGTCATGCAATTTAAGAATATTGAAGGTGTAATATAGAGGAACACATGGCCAATTTCTTGAGTGTAACAGACTGGAATCAAGGCCACCCAAGTCAACCTAAGAGAGCTTGTCTCAAACACAGTTTTTCCTACAGGATGGAAAACAACAGTTCTAGAATTAATATGCCTTCCCTTTGAGAAATCACTTCACACAAAAATAATTAACAAAGAAAAATCTCATTATTGATGGAACACATCCATCTCTGCCTGAAGCTTAAACAATTCAAAAGAGATAGGCAATTTGTAGTTCCGTCACCCAGGCAGACGGGAGGGTTAGACAGCAAAGATATTCCAAGAACAATTTCTTAAGTACACTAGTGGCAGGAAACAGTGGCAGGGTCCTGTGGTGAAGGTAACAGGGGATGAGGAAGATAGGAAAGTAGAAGATAGAGAAGCAAAAAGCAGCTGAGCAGTGGTGGCAGAGGCCTTTAATACCAGAATTCTGGAGGCAAGACAGGCAGATCTCTGCAAGTTCGAAGACAGCATGGTCTACAAGAGCTAGTTCCAGGACATTTTCTGAAGCTACAGAGAAACCCTATCTCGAAAACCCAAAAAAATAAAATAAAAAAGAAAAGATAAAAGCTAGGGTGGGGATTTCTTCCACATGCTAAGTTCCATGCCAAGTAAGTTTCTTAAGATCAGAATCTTGTATCCAACTTCCGGGGAGAAAGGGAAGGAAAAGAAAGACTTCAATGAAGTCAGCAGAAACCCTCACACTTAGTACAAATTCAAGGGGAGGCTAATCAAACAATGCTACATAAGGGGAACATGGGGTCTTATGTGATCATTACTAAAACCAAAAAGACCTAGGGATTGACAACCATAGCTCTGAGGGGTTCTCAGGATCTAAAGCAACACTTCCACAAAGGCCCTGACCCCAGGGGATTACCAAAGTAGCTATGTTCAAATGTTAATACATTAGACCCTAGGGAAGCTACCAAAGCCTACCCCCCCACCCCCCCAGCAGTTATTCTCTCTCCCAAGAATGTCCCTTCTCCCTGCTGGAGAGCCTAAACAAAAGCCTTAGTTATCCTTAATGCAACAGTGTTTTATTTTTCAAACAGCTGTCACCTGGTGTCATATTATCCATTAGGGCAAACTATGCTTTTCTCTAAAAGAAAATGAAACTTCAGTGGCACACCACAACTTAAAGTTGGTTGTGACCCTGTTATTCCCCTTTGAGTAGCTTGTTATAGGACTGTTTTTTTTTTTTTTTTTTTGGTATGCAGATGGACCTAGTGCCAGGTTGTAAACCAGGGAAGACTTCTTTGTAAAGGTTTGGAGCCAAATTTCCAAAAAATCCTGTTGAACAAATGTGCATTTAGTATCCTAATCTCTAACTGGCCTGGTCAGCATATGTCCTGTTCTCTGGCACCAACAGCTCCTGACAGGATAGAGCCGCCTTACAAGGGGCACCAATCGGCCTGGTTCTCAGGCAGAAAGAGCAGGGTCAGAGCCTGACCCGCCAGACTCTCTGTGGGGCTGAGAGGGATGATGAGTGTCTCAATTCAGCCACCCTCCCCACGGGGCACCAGGGAAAAACACACCCACTGAGTAGGGTCTCTGTAGAAGCAGAAACTCCTTTATTGGTATCAAGCAGGGACTTATATAAGGTTGTGATGAGGGCAGAGAAGCTTGGGATTGGGCAAGGTGGAGTAAGGAACAAGGGCCAGTAATACTTTGCCATGTTAGTGGTAGCTGGGCAGAGGCAGGTCTATGTCGGGTAGTCAGAGACAGGTCTTCAAAATCTAGCTAGACTCAGAAAGTTACACTAGGCCTCGGGCCAACTCAAGTTAGGCTCAGGAAAATACAATGGGAAATACTCAAGACCCTGCCTCATGAGGCCCGACAAGTATACAGAGACAGCCTTACCTCCCTTAAATTCTACTTTTGGAGACTTAATATTTTCTAAGCATTGATAAATCCTTTATATTAGCAATTCTACTCTTCTACATCACGGCATGGAAGTGGAGGGATACCCCATATATGGTTGATTTCACAACCTCCACGATAGTAACAGTAAGTGGATCTCACACATAAAGGTGAAATGCACAGTGCTGAACTTCTAGAAGATACTAGAGAAACTAGACCTCCTTGAGTTTGGCAACCTGCTTTCCATGAACGCACTAAAAGCATTCTTATGTTGCCTAGAAAGAGGTTTCTCCACACAGCTCCCTGCTCCCAATGCTCTGAGCAGATCCAGCCCACAGTGCAAAGTTATTCAGAGGCCTGCCCTATTCAGGGAGTTGCAGGCACCATATTGAACTTGAAAGGATGGGGAATCTGGCTGCAGTTTTCCATGCATAACTGGAGAGGAACCACCTCACTAATTCCCGCACCTCACCATCTGTTCCTCCCAGTCCAGGGACAGCAGCCCCTCACTCACCATGCCGCGGTTTCCTAGCTTTCGCAAGCGCTCCATGCAGTTTCCTGGACGAGTATTAGCACACAAGACTGACTCCACTTCCACTTCACTGCCAAGCTGGAACCAGGAAGAGTCCTCCACTTCTGACTGGGAAGTTACCTGGAGAATCTGATTGGATAGTAATGCCTGAGTGACAAGTACACCTCCCATAGGGTGAGCCTCTTCTTAAAGATACAGCACAGTATTTGCTGACCCTGCTTTCCAAACCAGACAAAAACCTTTTCTAGATCAGTGGATGTGACGTGTGCTTTTCAATAGCACTTGATCTTGGATCTGGTTCCAGACCCTACAATCTTCCTGTAGGCGCTTCTCCTTCTTCCACCTGGACACTACGTGGCTGTTTCACAGCCCACTATTCTTTGCGAATAGAATAATTCCTTGTCACAGGCGTGGAAGGATGCCCAGAAGAGATTTAAGGACACAAGAGGGCATATTTGTTGTGTGGTTCAATGCTAAGGTAAAAATGAACTAAAGGTGCTTTTTTTTCCTGGGTGTCATATGTACCTCAGAAAGTCAGGAAAGAAAAGTAGGAACCAGGTCTTGGTGAGGGCGCAGAGCAGGTGGTGAGCGCGGCGGGAGCCGTGGCAGGAGGTGGTCCTGGTGGGGCAAGGCGGGGTAAGTGACCCAGGCTGCAGGCCAAAGGCCGGTGTGAGGAGGGGTGAAGCGGCGCCGGGAATGGGCAACCCGGAGCAAACAAGCTTCAAGCTGACCAGATGAGTGTGTCAGCGTCCCCAGAGTGGAGCGTGGGGCGGGTCCATCTGCAGAGCCCAGCGGGGCAGGGGTCTGATATCTGGGCACATTGCGAGCACCATCCAGCCCTAAGCTTGTCCACAACAGGAGACCGCGGGAGCCCATAGCCGCCAGCGGCGGAGGGGGTGGGCGGGCGAGAGGGAGGGGAAGGCTGGAGGATGCTGAAGCGAATTGGTGGGCAGACCGGGAGTCGCCGTGTAAGAGGAGCGGCTCAGTGCCCTGCGTCAGGCGTGGCTGCGCAGCAGCGGAAGTCCTTCTTCGCAGCGCCGTCCCTGTCACAGCCAGAGTGTCTCAGTGCAGCAGACCGCGACCCTCGCCTCCGCCTGCCCGCCCGTCCGCCCCGCCGGAACTCCCGGAAACCCCCTCAGCCATTAGACCCGCTGCGCCCGCTGAGCAGCTGCCAGTCCTCAGGGCGATTCGCGCAACTTTGACCAGGGCCGGGTCGCGGGGATGCCTGAGCGCGGAGGGCGCGCGGCGAGGATCTCGTGGCCGGGGCTGCTGAGCCGGCGGCCTATTCGGAGCAGGCAGTCAGTCCCGCGCGTGCGGCCTCCCCGGATCTGGGACGAATTCCCTGTCCAGACGACTTCCCAAATTACTTATTTTTCCCTTTATTTTATTCTTTTTGAGGGAGGGGAGGGGAGGTGGAGGCGGGACGTCGCGCTTGATTGATGGGCCCAGAGAGTGCTTCGCTACCTTCCAGCTGCAGCTGCGGGGTCGGTGGGAGGGGAGCGACCCGGAACCTGAGGCTGGAGACTTGGGTGCTCTCCGAGGGTGGAGGCGCCTGGTTCCAGCGGATTCCAGGCTTTCCACTTTTCCACCCCCTCTCATTAGCACCGGGGCTTTTGGTTCCTGTCGAAAGTGGTAGGTCTTGGGACTTTTATGTGGATGAGGTTTTTTGTTTGTTTGTTTGTTTGTTTGTTTTTCTTTCACCCCCTAGTCCAGAAAAGAACGTGCTTTTCGCCTCCAGTGGTGGGCATTTACAAGTAGAAGTACTGGGAAAGGCTGTTAGCAAGTTGGGTGGCAGTCAGGAGCCCTTGCAGCTGGAGTGTGTGTGCCTGGGTCTGAGCTCAGCCACCACTCGAGGCTGCCTCTTCACCTGAAAGTCCCGTCCACGTGATGGGAGGGCTTGACAAGACCTTTTCCAACTCTGGATGCATCAGGAGAAGGTCCGATTACTAGGAGATGGCCCTAAAATTAGAGCTAAACCAATGTTTTCCCTAAACAATAGAACCATGGGTATTTTACTTGGGGAGTTTGGACATATTCGTGTGGAGTTCAATTATGAAATCCACTTCTGAACATAGCCACTATAGGCTATAAAAGCCTATAAAGGAAACATCAATCGCTGAGCACACTGACCCTGAACCCAGAACCAGTGAAACAAATGCATCCTGGATCTGAGATCTGAACCAGGGAAAGAAACATTTTATCCCTGAACCCCAAACCTATGAGACACATGCTGACTCTCACACTAAAAGACCTGGATAAATCCAGACCGCCCCCCCCCCGCAGGAAAAAATAGAGCCAAAAATCTAAGCAGGGAGAAAATCAGAAATCTAGGATTAGCCGGTTCAGTGGCTATGTTTCAGGAACTAGCTGAAGATAGATTGTAATCTTGAGAATAATCTTGAGAAACAGGGAGTTTCCCCTTTGTGATTATCATTGGTATTTTTGGAATACTGTTTCAAGAACTAGCTGATTATGACCTTGAGAGTGATCTTGAGAGGCAGGGAGTTGCCCCTAGTGAGCGTCACTGGTATTTTCGGAATTTTCTGTGACACCCTCCCTGTCCGTTTTGGATCTTTGGGCTGTGGTTTCTTCCCTTAAAAACCCCTTCTCCCGGTCACTCAGAGTTGTACTCCTCCCCTGCTTGGGTTATGAGTCTCAGCCCCAGTGCACTGGTTCCCACCTCTTCTCACCTATTAAACCTTTCAGCAAGGGCAATCTCTGGTGAGTTACTGGGGGAATGGGGGGAGGTCGTGTTATCCCGAGACTTGAGTGAGAGTCTCCCCACACTGGGGGTCTTTCAACACCAGGACCAAAGAAACATACTTTGTCCCTAGAATCAGAGCCAGTAAATGAAATATTCCTTGACCCTAAGATTAGAGTCAAAAGTCATCCCTGACCTGACCAACTAAACTAACCAATCCCTGAGCAGATAAACATCTCCCTGGGTAAACTCCGTGCCTAAGAAGCCTATATAAGCCCTTCTGCCTGTTCAGTTGCAGGCTGTCATTTACCTCACCAGCAGAAGCAACCACTCTCCTGGTCTCCACATTCTCAAATAAATCTCCTTCTCAAAAGAGTTTTGGGTGAAGATCTTCCTTCCACAAAGAATATAAAAAGCTGGCTGGGAAATCACATAGGGGACTGAGCTGAAAAACATTTCTAAGATTCTACCTTAGGGAGGATTAGCACAGCTGAGCAGAAGTAACAAATTTTTCCTGGAGCCTGAGGAGATTACTCCATTTCTGCAAGACTTCCCCTTGAGCACAGTGTTAACAGAAGAAGTATCTTCTAGGGTTGCCCAAGAAGGGGATAGCTCTCCTATTACTTTCCCTTAGGGGACCTGAGAAGAGCTCAGCTGCAGGGGCATTCCAGGAGATGAGGGGAATTGCTATATGCTGCAGGGAGAACAGGAGTCCCCACTGCTTCCCAACTACAGGTAGCCTGGCTTCCCTATAAGTCAAGCCACTTTCCTCTTCAGGGGCAAACTGTCCCATGTGGCTCTACCCCTCCAGAGGTGTCCTATTGTTGCTCTGCCCCTCATCAGCTGCCCTATTGCAGCTTTAGGTATAGCCTGGATTCCCTATAAGTCAGGATATCTTTGAGGTCCAGAGCTTTTAGACTCACAGTTATAATCACAAGGTAAGTTTAGGGACATTTAGGGACAATCTTACCTCAGAATCATTCAGGAATATACAAAAATTACAAAACTTATAAAAAGAAATGCCTCGGGGCTGGAGAGATGGCTCAGCCATTAAAGGCTAGGCTCACAACCAAAAATATAAGAGCTTGGTTCCCAGCACCCACGGCTGTCTCTCCAGCCAAAAAAAAAAAAAAAAAAAAAAAAAAAAAAAAAAAAAAAAAAAAAAAAAAGTGCCTCGGCATTTCCATCTTGTACCACAAGGTCTTAGATAAAAATCAAGAAAATGGCACTGAAAAGTAGACTGCTTTGGAGCCTATGAAAGGTGTCAATATTGATGCTTGATGGAAAAGATAGATACAAAAGAGGAAACAAATACCAAAAAATGTCTAGGAATTGTCACCTAATTGTTCTTTTTTTAAAAAATGCTGCAAGATCCCGGGCGGCAGCAGAAATGCTGTAGGTCCCAAATGGTGGTAGCGGGCCATGTGGTGGCAGGCATTGGGCTCTAGGAGCAGCCAGTCCCAGGCAGAGATGGCTGCCGGTCCCAGAGCGGTGGCTGGTCCCAGGGAGGGAGAGACACATGGCGGGCGGGCAGGAGACAGAGACATGGATAGACACGACATGCAGGGTGAGGTTGAATATTTATTCAGGGGGTTATGGAGGAGGAAGGGTGAAGGGTGGGACAGAGAGAGATGGAGAGAGGAGAGGAGAGGAGAGACACAGAAGGGGGAAGCAGAGACGTGGGGAGAGAGGCAGAAGCAAAGCTGCCTCTCCAAGAGGAAGATGTAAAAGAGAGCTAGCTCAGGCTGGAGGCTAGAGATCAGCCTGCCTCAGTGGATGGGGGAGGAAGTGGGCGTGGCTTGTCTCTTTTTTTAAATATTTATTTACTTATTATGTATAAAATATTCTGTTTTGTGTGTATGCCTGCAGGCCAGAAGAGGGCACCAGACCATTGCTGGGAATTGAACTCAGGACCTTAGGAAGAGCAGGCAATGCTCTTAACCACTAAGCCATCTCTCCAGCCCTGTGGTGGTGGGGGCGCACGCCTTTAATCCCAGCACTAGGGAGGCAGAGGCAGGCGGATCTCTGTGAGTTCGAGACCAGCCTGGTCTACAAGAGCTAGTTCCAAGACAGGCTCCAAAACCACAGAGAAACCTTGTCTTGAAAAAAAAAAAAAAAAAAAAAAAAGGAGACAGAAAACCATAACACTAATAGCACTTTGCACTGTGCTTCCATATGAACCTTTAAGATGTTCTATCTATATTAAATTCAAAACAAAGCAGGTTTTGCCACTGAGCAGGCTGGCTTGGCAGAAGGCCACAGCTGCTTTCATGCAAGACCAGAAGGAGTTCATGTTAACTAGCTCTGGCAGCTGTCTCTCTGAGGACTGTGACATCACTGTTAAGAATTCATTCTTTCCTTTTTCTAATTTATTAATTGTTTTTTAGTTCTATGGTGTTTTGCTTGTGTCTGTGCCATACAGAAGAAGACAGGATTGCTGTCACTAGAGTCACCACAAATGGTTAGCTATTCCATGCATTCTGAGAATAGAAACTGGATCCTCTGTAAAGAACTCAGTGTTCTTCATTTTTGAGTCCTACCCCAATTTTATTTAAAACTTATTTCTATAAATTGTTAATTAAAAGATATTACTTCCCATTTCTTTTGTATCTTTTATTCCATTCCTTCCCAAATCCTTTCCAACTTCTTCCTTGTCTAGTATTGGTAAATAATTATGCTGAAATACATTAATACAACATGGTGTGCTCATTTATGTTAATTGTATATATATGGTTAATGGGTTGACTATATTGTACTGGATAAACACTTGACAAGAATAGAAAACTTACAGTTGAGAACATCTTAGCAATAAAGAGCACTGAAGTTTGTATTGGAGAATCTGACTTCCATTCTCAATAAATATAGATCCTCATTACTACCCGTACTTCTAGTGTCAGGGTACTGACACTGTCTCCTGTCCTCCCTGGCCAATATAAGAAGAGGAGACCTGCACCATAAAATATTATTTTTCACTCTGCGTGTATTAGTGTATTATTTTAGTACCAGGAATCTGGCCACAGAGTGTAGCCTGAATAACAAAAACCCAGAAACAGTTATTGGGGTCCAATCTGAAGATCAGAAAAGCAAAGTAGACAAACACTAACAGCTTTTATCTCCCTGATATCTTTAAACTGGAAGAGAGCAAATTCCTCTCTTATCCTA